AAAAAAAAAAAAGAAAAAGAAAAGAGGTTTAATTGGCTCATGGTTCTGTAAGCTTTCCAGGAACTGTGGTACCAATATCTGCTTCTGGTGAGGCCTCAGAAAGCTTACAATTAAAGCAGAAAGCATCAGGGAGCTAGCATGTCACATGGCAAGAGTGGGAACAAGAGAGAGAGAAGGAGGAGCCAGGCTTCTTTAAACCATCAACTCTTGCATCAACTCTCACATGAATTAGCAGAGCAAGAACTCACTTATTACCATTGGGAAGGCACCAAGCCATTCAAGAAGGGTCTTCCCCTATGATTCAAACACCTCCTACCAGGCCCCGCATCCAACATTGGGGATTACATTTGAAATGAGATTTGGAGGGAACAAACATCCAAACCACATCATTCTGCCTCTGATCCCCCAGATCTCATGTCCTCGTTACACATCAAAATACAACCATGCCTTTACAATACTCTGCCAAAGTCTTAACTTGGTCAGCATTAATTCAAGTTTCAAGTCCCATGTGTGAAGTCCCAAGTATCATCTGGAGATGAGTCCACTGATCTATGATCCTGTGAGTTCAAAAACAAGTTACTTATTCACAATATACAATGGTGCTATAGATATTGGGTATACATTATCATTTGAAAAGAGAGAAATTGGCCAAAAGAGAGCCAACAGGTCCACACAAGTCTGAAACCCTGAAAGACAGTCATTAAATCTTAAAGCTCCAAAACAATCTCCTTTGACATCATATCCTGCATCCTGGTCACAATGGTGTGACTCGTAGGCTATGAAGGCCTTGGACAGGTTTGTCCCTGTGGCTTTCCAGGGTGTAGCACTTGCGGCTGCTCTCACAGGTTGGAGTTGAGTGCCTATGGCTTTTCCACACCGAGGTTGCAAGCTGCCAGTGGCTCTACCATTCTTGGGTCTGGAGGGTGGCATCCCACTTCCCAAAGCTCCACTAGGCGGTTCCCTGGTGGGGACTCTGCAGGGGCTCCAACTCTACATTTCCCATTGGCACTGCCCTAGTAGAGTTTCTCCATGGGGTCTCTGCTCCTGTAGTAGAGCCTGGGTATCCAGGTTTCCCCATACATCCTCTGGAATCCAGGTGGGAGATGCCAAGCTCTTTTCACATTTGATTCTGTGCATCTGCAGGCTGAACATCACAAGAAACCTGCCAAGGATTATGGCTTGCTCCCTCCAAAGTGGCAGCTTGAGCTTTACCTTGGCCCACTTGAGCTGCGGCTGGAGCCTGAGTGGTCAGGATGCTGGGAGCACTGTACTGAGGCTATGCAGGAAGTGGGGTCCTGGGCCTGACCCCTGAAACCAATCTTCTTCCCAAGGCCTCTGGGGCTGTACCTAAGAACTCTGAAATGCCTTCAAAGCCTTTTACTCACTGTCTTGGCTATTAGCACTTGGCTCCCTTTTAGTCATGCTAATCTCTCTGACAAATGGTTGCTCTGAAGCCTGCTTGGATTTTTTCTACCATAGGACTAAGCTACAAGTTTTCCAAATTTTTATGCTCTGCTTCCGTTTTAAATATAACTTAAGTAGTTTACTTGCTTCCATATATGACTTAGGGTGTCAGAAGCAGCCATACTACTTCTTGAATGCTTTGCTGCTTAGACTTATTTTTCCTGCCAGGTATCTTGTATCATAATTAAGTTCAAACTTCTCAGATCCTTATGACATGAATACAGTGCTGCCAAGTTCTTTGCCAGGGTGTAACATGGATGATCTTTATTCCAGTTCCCAATAACTCCCTCATTTCCACCTAAGACTTAATCAGGCTGAACTTCATTGTCTATATCTCTAACAGCATTTTGGTTACAACCATTTAACCAGTCTCTAAGAAGTTTCAAATGTTCCCTCATCTTCCTGTCTTTGTCTCGGCCTTCCAAACTCTTTCTACCTCTGCCCATTGTCCAGTTCAAAAGCTGTTTCCACATTTTCAGGTATTTCATACCAACACCTCACTCCTGGTACCAATTATCTGTTAGTTTGTTCTTGTGTTGCTATAAATAAATACCTGAGACTGGGTAATTTATTAAAACAAAGATGGTTAATTGGCTTATGGTTTTGCAGGTTTTACAGAATGTATGGTGCTGACATCTATCTCTGATGAAGCCTCACAAAGCTTACAATCATGGTAGAAGGTAATAGGGAGCCAGCATGTCACATGGCACGAGCAGGAACAAAAGAGAGAAGGAAGAGTTAGCCTTTTAAACAACCAGCTCTCATGTGAACTAACAGAGTGAGAACTCACTTATTACCATGAGGGCATCAAGCCATTCATGAGGGATCTGCCCCTATGATCCAAACACCTCCCACCCAGCCAGCCTCTAACATTGGAGATTACATTTCAACATGAGATCTGGAGTGGGCAAATATCCAAACCATATGAGTTACTATTCTGACTTTCTCTGAAATAGGTGTATTTAGATTGTTTTCGGTTGGATGGTAGATATCGTTACATAAAAGATAGGTGAGTGATTTATGACTTAAAAGTAATAACCACTTGGATACTTCTTTAGTATGGTTAGTTAAGCTTCATCATTAAGAATGACTTCCATTTAGTGTCAAAAGTTAATGCTGCCATCAGCCTGTATTTCTGAGACATGGATTGTTGGATACTTCAAATAGTTTATGGTCAAAAGTCTTAAAGTTCTAATTTGACTTTTAAAGTTTTAAAATTCTAACAAAGACAGAAAAAACACACTGGGGCCTACTTGAGGGTGGAGGGTGGGAGGAGGAAGAAAAGCAGAAAAATAACTATTGGGTAACTAGGTATTATTTCCTTGGTGATGAAATAATCTGTACAACAAACGCCTGTGACATGAGTTTACCTATATAACATACCTGCACATACACCCCTTAACCTAAAATAAAAGTTAACAAATATCTATTACAAATTTAAAAACATAATAATATACAACACCAAGAGTGAGCCCTGATGTAAACTGTGGACTTTGGATGATAATGATGTGACAATGAGGGTTATCAATTCTAACAAATATACCACTCTGATGGGGGAGGTTGATAACAAGAAAGGTTGTGCACATGTGGGGTAGTGGGTATATGGGAAATTTCTATTCTTTTCTCTCAATTTTGCTCTATGAAGAGCAAAAACTTAAAAAATTATACTTAAGGCATCAAATTTGGAAAAATCAATAGCCTAGTTCTTTACTACAAAATCATATGGCATAGTTTTCTAAATGTAACCATCACATGTTGTTTTCATGGACTTCATACACACTTGCTCTAGGAATGAAACAACAAAGTATTTTCATTTTTCCTCTTTTCTCAGTTTCTATCAGTACTGGGTCTATGCAGGTAGGGATAGGAGGGCTATCTTTAGCCAATATCAGAATTGAGTTGAATGGAGGACTTACAGTTTTCCAATAAAAAAATTCAAGAAGTGTTTTTTGCTTCCCAGGTGGTAAAATCATGCATACTTTTAATTTCCTTTTTTGATCTCTTTATATTTTCCAAATGTTCAACAACAAAGTGTGGTTATTAGTTATTATAATAAAAGAGATTGTAGGATATTTCTCTGATCTCTAAGATTAAAAAAAATAAAGTTTAAAAGTTCTAATCTGACATTTCAGTGACCACATTTCTGGAGTGCTCAAAGGAATATCTACGATCAAAGCAAATATTTTGTCTATACTCCTGATTTCCTTGATGACACAATTTTCCTAAGCATATTTCTGGTCTTTCTTTTTGTCCCTCTATTCTCTCTGCCCTGAGAGGTTAAAGGATTTATTTGATTGGTAAATTTGGGAAGCCTCAGTCCTATTTATGTTCCTTTTAGAAAAAAGTTGTCTGCAGGGAGCAAGTTACCTTTGCTACTTTTCTAGGAGCAGATTCTTCCCTTTTAGAGAATGATCCTGTAGTGGTTCAGCATTGCCTATATCTAGATGCCTTCTCTGCCTGCTTGTTTTTAAGTAAGTCAATTTGGCTCTCAAACTAAGCTATAGTCTTCAACTTGTCTTTTATTTAAAAATAAAGATGATATTTTTGGCCTTTATATGCTACTCTTTATTTTTTAATTTGCTTAGAACACAGCCATGGAAGAGGGAAGCCATTTTATTGTTTCACGTACTTCTCATGCCTGAAAGTTGATGTTCTTCCTGAATTTTCTATCATCAAAAAGCTTTCAGTCTCTAGTAAACAAAATTCCTAAATCTAACAAATCTCATCATGACCAGTTCTCACAGCCTACACTTGAACACTACTGATTTTCTCCAGTGGAGGGAATTCAAGCTACTTCTTTGCAATTTGAGAAAGCAGTTAGAAAAAAACAGCCTTATGCTACCATTTTGATTTTTTTAAGGTTACTGTTGATCCTCATGCTAAACACTGAGGGAAAAATGCTTCAATTAAAGGCAGACAAACTCTTCCATATAAGAACACACACAAATCTTTAAAGCTCATATTATTTGTGACCAACCCCTGAAGAAATATACTTTTAGATAACCTTCATATAGAAGGCAGGTAAATTACTAATTATATGTACGTATGACATTTGTGAATATACTTACCTCAGCAGTGTGCTTTGCCACATGCCCCACGATGACAATGACCTTCCCTTTGAAGTTCTGGAGCATAGCAGTATAAGGGCCCTGGGCAAGCTCCCCTTCTGCAGTGAATGCAGCACTAAATGGAATGTTGATGCTTCCTGAAATGTGACCACGAATAAAGCTGAGAAGGAAAATTTAAGGAAAACATTTATTGTGTGCAATTTTGAGTGTCTGAGAGAAACTCACAGAGGTAAGTGATTCCCTGAAGATAGTACTAAACATTTCCTAGCTCATGTGAGTATTTTATCTAAATGACATAAGGCACCTCTAAGAGAAAAAAAAAAGAAAAGTTAACTTTGAAAATGAAGGAGAAAAGAGAAAGGAAGATGACTAGCCAAAGATGTAAAGAAGCCCTTCCTCATTAAATGAAGAATAATGAAAGTGATCCTGATGCAGCAAAGCAATGGTAATCGTATGAATTGTACAACACTCCTTTTAATTCATTGTTGCTACATGATTATTTTAAAGTTCTGAAAGTGACATAGGCAAATGGATTTTCTCAGCTCTTAATTTGATGCTGCAAAAGCCTATCCTCTCTGGGCAAGTGATTGCTAAAGGGGACTCCATATAGAATTGTAAGTGGCCATTAGCATTGGTTGAAAACACTTCTTTTGGTTCATTTCTCAAGAAAACTTATCTGGCATTTCCATTATTTCCAGTTTTACACTCTCTGATGGGGGTGGTATCTTATTGTTTTATTCTTATAAGGGGCCTGATGGTTTCATTAACTATTAATTTAGGAATTAAAGGCATCCGTTCGCTTAAAACATTTAGAAAGATCATAAGATCTTAAAGAAAAAATGTAAATTCCAAGAGGTAATTAAAAGCGACAACTAAGGGAATGAAAGTAGAACTTTGGAAATCAGATAAAAAAAGGGTAATTATTTTAGATTCTAGAAAGGAAAACATTCTTAAATATATCCATTAATCAAAACTCTTCAAATAAACATAAAATAACAACTGTGAAAACTCTCAAAGAGGTGTCTCTAATATTTTAATAGATACATTGTCATTTTGGGGAAGACAGGGAAGGTTTCCACTGAGAAAGTGATGGCTAAGTCAAGAATTGAAGAATTAATACAAGTCAATCAGGCAAAGGGATGCAATGGAGGTGGGATAAGGTAGCAGAGGATATAAAATTCCAGGCAGAAATGTTGGGCTTATTGTGGGGAGGCACATGCCAAAAAAGAGAAATGAAGGAAGGCCAGTGGAATTTAGATAGCACAAGGAAGCACAAGCTACAGTGAGCCTGGACATGGACGCAGAGGCCCAACCACACAGGCCTTGTAGACTATTTTGATGATACTGGTTTTTATCCTAGGAGCAATAAAAGTCAGAAAGTGTTTTAACCAGAGAAGTAAAGGATTTGCATTTTGGCAACAATGTAGAGAAAGACTAGAAGGGGAGTGAATGTGAAGACCAGTTTATAAGGAGTTTAGGCTAATTTCTTCCTTCTTAATAATCACAGATGATTACAAAAAAAAGAATGTTTGTGTGTTCAATAGAGGCATTTTCCCTAAACTTCCACTTTAGGTATGTTATTCAAAAAAGAAAAGTCACAGTTTTAAAAGGTTGCTACACAAGCAAGTAATAGTCCCCCTGAAAACTTACCAATTGTCACTGCATGAGAAGTATCCTAATTATTTACTGACAGGTCAGTTTCTCTATTGCCCCAGTTTGTAGGCTCATCTTCTTTGGAATACTACTTCTCCGTCTCTCACTTTCTTTCTCTTTCCTTAATGGAGACAGAGGAATTTGAGGCTCCTACTCTCAAGAATGATGGTGGAGATGGACTACATATCTTACAATTTAAATTTTCTAGTCAGCTGCTGCTTCATCATTTTTTAAAAGAAAAGCATATGACATAAATAACGAGAGAAAGAACCATAAATAAGTTCTGAAAAACTAAAGGAGAGAATCAACATTAACATTCCAGTGGACATTATTTAGTTGAAGTTTTCTAGAATGGCAAGAGAATTTATGATCATGAGTAGATTACCTTTGAACTTCATCAGCATTAGTTTTTCAGACATTTCTAATTATTCAATATTCCCAACTGTAGTTTTCCTGTAGAGTAATGACTTCTCTCAGAATATAATTATTCGGATGGTACTTTTTTTTAATGGATAGTACTTTTATTTTCAGTAAAGATATACTTCAAAATGAAAAATTTTTTAATAACACAAACTAAGAACCTAACAACTCATATATTCTCAGCTCATATATCTACATCTGTCAGGTCTGAATAAGTTGCCAGAGAGTTTCTGTATTTATCAAACAGCCCTTATCAACTATGAACACCTTTTCTTTTTTAGCGTGTTTAGAGTAGCAAAAGCAATACAAATCTATCCTGGTCAAATGAGGTAGCAGACAAGTTTGGGTTGCCTGTCCACATTCCATTTTCTTGTTTGGAAGAGCACCAAACACTGACCCTGAGAAAAGGGTGAGCCTAGGCTGTCACGTTTGTATCAGATGACCCTGACACAACCATGGCTGACAGGATAGTAGATAATCCAACAAATAAGTTGGATTATCAGAACAGCATTAACAGGCAGGGATAATGTATATTATCTTCTAGGTTTCTAAGATATGAAAACTTTTCTGTATTCATAAATCAGTCTACATAACAATACTATAAGTGGATATGCTGTACTTCAATAAAACACAAAAAAGTCAGGTCTAAGAATATAGGTACCTTGTACAGGTAAATTACATGGGTAAATGTATTTAACAAAGAATGTTCAGAAAGATTCTTCAATTTACAAAAAAATTAGAAAATTCCTTTAAAATATTGCTTAAAATTAAACAGAGAAACCAGCTCATGTTTTTTTTCACATCCTAAAAGAGCACAGCAGTTTTGTTGGTTGCCACACTTAGTGACATCATATCTCTAAAGACAAAGTACACCAATATCTCACCAAACCACACAAGAAGATCTACCTACCTTTGTTTTGGCTGTTTGTCTGCTGGCTTAACTAATTATAATTAGTGTTAGACACCTTTCAGTCCAAACTCAAGGTTTTACTTTTAGTACATCAGCAGACAAAAAGAAATATGAAATTAAATCCACAATTCTCTCATATATAACATAACTAAAAAGCATTAGCTGATATAGATGTTTAGATATCATGATTTTCTTTGCTAAATCTATTGATACTATGGTTTGAATGGCATCACCATCTCCTAAATCAACCAAAAATCTCATTTCCAACATGTTATCAGTAGCAACATCCAATATTCTACTGCTCTAATAAATCCCGTACTCACATTTTCATTCCCATTATCACTGCCTGTGTCAGATACTGATTTGTCTTGAGCTTAAACTACTGTGGTACTTGTTTCCTCCAACTTTTGTCTTTTCTCTTGGAAATACACTTGATTTACAATATTGACAGATAAAAAATTTAAAAGCAAAGTGTTTTGATCATCATGACCCTGCTGAGAAACTTTCCATTCCTGCCTACAGGACAAAGCCTGTGTTTCTCAGTTCAGTCCTCATGAATAGAACCTATGTACTTCAATTCCATCCAAACTAAATCATTTACTGTTATCAATAGGTTTTCTATCTCCTGTAGTTTTCTCTGCCTAAATACCTTTTTCTCCTTATTTTTGCATGTTTAAATATCCATCCTTCAAATGTTTCATCCATGAAAGTTTCCCTTTCCACAGTATCTGTACATCTCTCATAAAAGCAATTTGATTTCATATAAAATATACTAATGAGCACACCTTGTATCTAAACAACTGAAAGGAACAATGTGTATTACATTAATTTCATCTTTGAATCTCTTGCAATGATTAATAGAATGCTTAGAACATCACTTTCATATTGGTGAGTAAATGAATTTCAGAATTTTGCTAAACCTGGAGTAACTAGTGTCAGCAGCAAATATGCTAAGGTGCCTTCTGGCAACTCCAACTGGTGGCATCAGTATATAACAATGCTTGCAAGTGTCAACGATATAGAATTCCCCTTTGTCAGCTTACGTTTTGAGAAAAGGGAAACAAACAGCAACAAAAATAATTTCTCTGGATTTTCTTCAGCATAGGTATTGAACTAAGGGCCCACTAAAACTGGCTTACTTAGGGAAAAGCTAGAGATCTCACTCTTTATGACAGAATATGAAGGAATGATTATGCACATCAAATTTTTGGATAATTCAATCCTAATTTTGCCTGTGACAATATCTCTACTCTCATCCATCCTCTAAAATGCATTAATTTTTCTGAAATAAAAATCTAAGCATGGCACCTACCACCTAATAGTTTCTTATTGCCTTAGGAATGAAACACAAACTTCTTAGCATGTTATGAGACATTTTCAACTACTCACTCTAGTTTCATTACTAATTCTCACATATTCCAGACATGCTCATCCACAGTTCCTGTAACTTCCTAAATAAGTCCTTCTCACCTTCTCTGGCCTTCAAATAGTGTGGTTTTTCAATGCCTCTCTCCCTTCTTTGCTGAATTACTAACTTCTACTTGTTTTTTAAGACTCATGTCAGATATCACCTGGTTTAGGTGCCCATCCTATATTTCCATGACATTTGGGTATGCTTCAGACATTGACCATTTCATATTATACTTCAATTATCTATTTCATATATTATTTTAGTTAGAAGACTGTGAGCTTCTGGTGGGCAGGGATGCTGTAATTAAACTCCATATCCTCATTTCCTGGCAAAGCAGGTCCTCAAATAGGACGGGATGACTGATTGAATGAGATTGTATGGCACTTTAGGAACTGGGGTCGTGGATGGTTCTAACACCAAATAGAAACTCTGCAATAGCTAATGTACCTTTCATAACTAACAATTAATCCTGACATGAAGGTATTCCTCAGCAGTTGCTATTATACATCCCTATATTATACAAAGCCTATTCAAATATGGGAATATAATTGGATAGAAATTTTAATTTAGATAGATTGAACCTATGTCCAAGTGATGAAAAAATCTTACTAAACCTTGTTATCAGTATTTACTGCTCTGATCATGAGTATCTTTAAATTGCTTTGAAGAAGTTTTCATAAATTTATTCTTAAGGACAAAGATACAAGAGTAATACTAGCATTCTCTAAGGATGAATGTGGCATAATGAAATAATGAATACGACTGG